TTAGTAAATACTATTTCATTTCATGCACAAACCTGGCATATTGCACATATTTGTTGTTAATTGTTAATCATTTCATTGTTGTTCTATATTTTTATATTTTGTCAATTTATATGTTTATGAACACCACATCCTCTTCCGTTGCAATACGTCGGCACAACACAAACTGGAGTAATGCATATGTAAATATCTGCCACATTGTTTTTTCTCTGCAAATAGTTGTTATTCTTTTATTATTTATTATTATATAACTTGCAATTGTCTATTCCATATTTATATATTTCTACAACTGTATGTGACTATGTCTGCGTGTAGCACCTTATCACCAAAGCAAATTCCTCGTATGTGTAAAACATTACTTGGCAATAAAGCTCCTTCTGATTCTGATTCTGTCAGATATTTCTGTCAAAGTCAGGATATCTTGACATCTATTGTGCTAGCCTGTAAGCAGTCATTCTCTTCATGCTCTCTCCTCTCTTCAAGAGGAGGCCACCCGCAGCAGTACACATTTGATGAGGTGGAGGCGCTTCTTTAATTTGATTTTTAAAAATGCCAAAGAAAAGTGGTTGTTGCAACATTACATATAAAACTATACCTGTAGTACAGCAGGTACAGACAAAAAGTGTGCAAGAATATTTTATATGGATAGTATAAAGATATACACAATCAAACATAAATAGGTAAAAGCAATTTAAGACAAATTAGAAGAACATCTATTGGCAAAACATGTCTTGTCTTGTGAATTGAGAATGTACTGTATGTGAAAGACGTATTTCAGTAGTTTTGAACATAATCATTGCTTTTATCTGTTTGGGTTTTTTTTCAGGTTTGGCCGACGGCCGTTGCTGTTGGTGTCTTATTTGTCATCCATGACGTTTGCAGTCCTGAGTGCATTCTCCACCTCATATATAATGTTTGTCATCATGAGATTTTTTACAGGGATGTCACTCGCAGGAATAAGTATCATTTCTGTTGTTCTAAGTAAGTAGGCTAATGCTGAAACCATACGCACCTCTGAGATGAGCAAAATAGATTATGTTAAGTCTAAATTCACTTTTGGTTTAACAAAAACATATATACAAGTTTCAAGAAAACTTTGGTTCTGACTTTACACCTGTGCTGACATTTCTCCAGATGTTGAATGGTTCAGCATTGAACACAGGACCTTTTCGGGTGTAATCATAAGCCTGGATTGGACACTTGGAAACTGCATTCTGGCTGGAATTGCATACTATGTCAATGAGTGGAGGATGCTCATTCTGGTCGTGACCTCACCCCTGATTCTGGCCGTAATTGCTTGGAGGTATTGAAGTTTCATATTTAATACTTTGCAACATAATCTGCTGCATCCTATCAGAAGTCAGTGAGACACTAAACCCACCATGTTTGTCGCCTCAGGTGGCTTCCAGAGTCTGCAAGGTGGCTATTGGCTAAGGGGAAGGCAGACGCTGCTCATTATTACATAATGAAATGTGCCGATATGAACAACAGAACCAATTGTATGGCTACCGTCACACCACAGGTACATTTCGACATTGTTTATACTTTACACAGTCTGCCAGTGATATAATAAAAAAACTACTGTCATGTGCAGAAGTGTTGTGAATGAACAATTTCATTGTGTTGCTGCTTTCTCACAGGCATTACTGGAATCTGCACAAGCTGAAAGTAGAGATGACAAGTACACTTTCGTAGATCTTTTCAAGACCCCAAATATTAGGAGGCTTTCTATATGCTCTGGTATAGTATGGTTAGTGTCATTTTCATGAGATGGGTTAAAGGAATAGTTGAGCGTGACTGGAGATGAAGTCAGGAGGCAATTAGTTTAGGGTAGTATAAAGACTGGATGAATGGGAAACAACTAGCTGGGCTCTCTCCAAAGTTCAAAAGTACGCCTACCAGCACTCTCACCTCCCTCTAAAACCACAGACTGATGCTTTTAGATTTCTGTTTGTGTATGAATTACAGAAGCCAGACACAACATGTTCGTCAGTGAACTTTAAGGGGTGATTCTAGGCTAAGCTAAGTTCAGTATTGCCTGGCTCCAGCTTTGTAGTTGATTAGTATAAATCTAACTCTCAAAAAGAAAGCAATAAGTGTATTTCCCAAAATACTAAACTATTTGTTTAACAAAGTGTAACATTAAATCTATTTAATATAATAAGCAATATGGTATATAATTGAAGGACATTTCACTATGTTTCTACAGTTAAAGCCTTGCACAAATAACCTTAAGGTTAACACTGGCATGTCAAAAGAGAAAGTTGTAATGTTTTGTTCCATTTTCTAGGTATGGAGTTGCATTTACATATTATGGGATAAGTCTGAATATCTCTGGGTTTGGATTAAACCCATACCTCACACAATTAATATTTGCATCCATCGAAATGCCAATGAAGATTGGTGTGTATGTCTTCCTGGAGAAAGTTGGTAGAAGGCCTGGTGAGATGGGAGCCCTGCTGATAACTGGTTTCTGTCTCTTCATCAACGTATTTGTTCCAAAAGGTTGTCTTTCGGTTTTTATTAAATCTAGTGGTCTAGACCTGCTCAATATCAAAAGTGCCATGAGATAACATTTTGGACTTTTATGAATTGGCTCTAGATAAATAAAATTGAATTGAAATTGAATTGAATTGAACACATTCTCTTGATCAAATATCTAAACATTTCCCCTCAGATAAGTGGGTCTTTCGTACTGTTGTGGCAGTCCTTGGAAAAGCCCTGTCAGAAGCCTCATTCACGATCATGTACCTCTTCACAACTGAACTCTATCCTACAGTTGTACGGTTAGTCAACAGCAGACTTACTGTATGTAGTAAGTTTGACCACAGACAATACTTTTGTGACCATGTGTACTACAGGTTTACATTAACCTCAGCACTTTGATTTTTCAGACAAAATGGTTTAGGTTACACCTCGTTTCTGGCAAGGCTGGGCGTGTCCATATCTCCGCTCATCATGCTGTTGGAGGACGTGTGGCACCTCCTCCCTGCGGTCACTTACTGTGCGGTGGCAGTTGGGTCTGGTTTAGTTGCGTCACTCCTGCCTGAAACATTAAACACCCTATTGCCAGAGTTCATTGAGGATATTGAGAAACCAAGGTAAAGAGGAAATGTGTTAAAGGAAGATTACATGTAATTCATTATTAAAGCTACAGTGAACGATTAGCCACCTCACTGATCCACACTGCTAAAGAATAATCCAGTCAACCCTGCAAAGGCAAGTGGGTAACCATAAGTCCGCTACCTTCCTACAGTTTACATAACATCTTCCTAAATATTTCACGTTTTAATCATTTGCCTGTGTCAATAAAAAGTGTTGTTCATGTCCTTTACTCAACTCAGTAATGCATGCCTGATAAAATGACTGATTTAAGTTGTATCTATATTGCAGGATACAATCAACACGGAGGAAGGAGATTCAATAAAAATAACACTTATTGATTAGCCTGTCTACAGTATATCTGTTATTGACTAAGTTTTAAGAATTGAAGATGAGTTGATTTTAACATTTAAACATGGTTAAAATCCCAATAAATTACTGAACCAACAGAAGACAGGAGAAGAAACCCAAGAGAAGTATAAAGCTGGGCACACACTATGATTTGTTGCCAACGCATTTTAGAGTCGGGTCGAATTTAACGTTCATTAAGCGTCATTCGTGCAGTGCACAGAGGGGAGCGAGGGCTGATCCAATGTTGAATAGTAAAAGTGCATCGGTCCTCCAGAAAAAAAGGCACTAATTGTTGGAAATTGACTCGTGGCTCTGCTTCAACCATGCAACATCCAACAGCCTGACAACAGCCAAACAGAAATTCTGACACATTACAAACTAATCCAAATGTCCAACGGCTGTTTGGGAGCCGCTGATCGGTCCTCGCTCCCCCTGTATAGCTACTGCACGGCAAATGACACCCAACAAAGCAAATTCGGTCTGACTCAAATATGAGTCGAGCGGCTCAAAAACTGGGTCACAAACAGGCTCGTCATACAGAGTATACTATGCCATTCAACAACATTTGTAAAACTGTACATTGTATGTCCATCTTAACTGTATGTTTACTTGTAGTTGCTAATAAAGTTATACTAAATGAGAACAGAACTATTGGTTTTATTGGAAATTACACATTTCATGGTGACGTGCTTGTTAAAGTCATTATGTCCTGCTGTCATGGTCCAGGGTATAGAGGACATTTCATTATCATGTGGCAGCCCAGTGATAGACTAGCAACCTGAAAAGGATAATGGAAGGACTGAGGGGCTGGTGTTATTTGCCTGGCTGTCTGTTTCTTGATTTTCTTTGACACATTTTATATCTTATGAATACAATAATAACTCAAACATAATACTCAACAGAAGTCTGATGTTCAAATGACAAATTTAGCCACAGTGGTGCATTGAGCTAAATGCTAATGTCAGCATGCTAACATGCTCTTACTGACAATGCTTTGCAGGTAAAATGTTTAGCAGGTATAATGTTCACTATCTTGGTTTTGCATGTTGGAATGCTGAGATTTGCTAATTAGCACAAAGTATGAAGAATGGTAGGATGAGATATTTTGTCATAAACCAGTGTACTGGAAAAAGTTAGGGAAAATTATGACCGGATGGTGGCACTACAGGAAAAGTGAGATGATCAACAGTTATTAGGAGTCAATCTCTGACCACCATTCATATCTGTAATTATTAGCAGTAGCTATTTTGTGTATTAAAATGGTTTAGGTGTTTCCACTCTTCTAGGTGTATTGTTGTGTTTAACAGAACTTTCACATTCATGAAACACTGTGTATTTATAGTAGTTTATCTATGAGTATGCTGTGTTGAATGTGTTGAATCTTTAAATGGGGATCCTCTCGTCAGTATTGAGTAAATCTTTGATTGACTTTGATATTGTACATAATCAACAGACATGTACTTTGGTATTATGGGGTCAGTAGCAAATGATTGATTTTTAAAGTAAAATGTTACTTGTCAAACTGCTATTATACAGGTGAGCACTAACTTTCTGTTTTCATTTACTAAACACTCACATTCTCAGCTGAAAACTAACCAACAGTAGTGTGGAAAAGACTAGAGGCTCACTTTTAAACTAACATCTTGTGTGCTTTGTGATATTTTCTATTAATCCCTTCACTCCAAATTGGAAGTGTTGCATAGTTTATTGCAAAGATGAAGTTTGAGAATATGCTGGCAGAGGTGGATGGCTTTGGGAGATTCCAATTAAGGACGATCCTCTTGATGGTAATTCCCCGTGTGACTTTGCCTTTTCACTTTCTGCTGAATAATTTCATAGCGGCTGTTCCCTCTCACCACTGCGACATCAGCTCTCTGGATGACGGAGGTATTTTTAGAAATTTATCCCAAGCAGAGAGGCTTGTTGTTAGTATTCCACTACAGGATGATGGGACTCCAAACTCTTGTCAGATGTTTGCAGAGCCTCAATATCATCTGCTGCTCAACTCCTCCAACATTACTGCCCTACCCACAGTGCCGTGCCAGACTGGATGGGTGTATGATAACACCACCTTCAAGTCTACTCTGGCCACAGAGGTGAGTTTTTTTTTCTTAAACTAATTTTAGTCTCAAATTAGCCACATTAAGCTTTACTTTTCTCTGTGTTGTCTGTCTCCCCCATAGTGGGATCTGGTTTGTGATCAGAGAAGATTGAACAGAGCCACGGCCACTATCTTCTTCATGGGAGTCATGCTTGGAGCGGCAGTATTTGGCTATCTTAGTGACAGGTGTTCATGTCTTTAACTGGAGCACATTTCCACCTCTGGGTGGTTAAATTACACATGTTTTTAAAACAAAAAAGAAACGTATACATTGAAAATATCTTTTTTGCTACAGTATAATTATTGTTATTATAGTTTAATGCTATGGTGTACTATCATCTGTCTTGGATGTCTGTTTTGCCACTGTCAAATATGGCTAACATCACCTGTATCGAGTCAAGAATCTATAATCCATGCATAAAAGTAAAAAAGGGCCAGTGGCCAGATGAGGCATACCAGTGTTGCAGCCCTCCCAAAATGAATGTACTATGCAGATAGTGGACTCATGGATAGAGGAGCTCAATTTGTTCCAGCCTGAAAAAAGGAAATGTAGTACTTCTCATTTGGAAAGTTTACATTCACACACTATCAGCTGAAGAAAAACTGATGTTCATTAAAGTGTCGATGAGTGAACTTTTCACCTAACATGACCCTAACATGACCCTATTTCTCACCTTTACCCAAACCATAAAATGAACCCTAACCAACGCACTGAAATATAGGCTATTTTTTATTTTACACAATGAAGGCTAATTTCCCAGATTTTTAAACATCCGAGTGTTTTTACATGAACTAATTATTAGATATATTTGTAATTATTTTGTCTCACAGATTTGGCAGAAGAAGAATGCTTCTGGTGTCCTACATGACAACCACCTTCTTTGGATTTGCAAGTGCTTTCTCATATAATTTGTCCATGTTTTCTGCCATGAGGTTCTTAACTGGATTTGGTATTTCTGGAATAAGTATAATCACCGTGGTCCTTTGTGAGTTTTTATTTTATCATAATATCTATTTTTTTTTAAGTTAAAGAGATAATTAAAAAAACAAACAATTCTCAGAAAACAATAACTATGAACTAAATTGTAGGTAATACACTCTTTGTTTTTAGTTAACTTATTTTTTTCTCTACTCTGTGTTTTAACTTAAAAAGATGTGAATAATATAAAAAAGATATGACTTGTTGAGTCTACCGTAATTATAATCAAGTATGTTATAATAGATTTGATTTGTTATCATTGCTCTTTGTAGGTATTGAATGGGTGGACATAAAGCATCGCACTGCAGTGGGCGTTTTTATGAGCATTGACTGGAGTATTTGTACTGCTTTGCTACCTGTTGTGGCCTATTTTGTGAATGACTGGAGGTACCTCACCACCACAGTAACCACCCCACTGTTTCTGGCAATGATCTCTTGGTGGTAAGAAAAAATAATAATTGAGCTCTCAGCGTACCAAGCAATTCCCTGACTGTAAATTTTACAGTATGAAGCTGCCCTAACACCAGCCAGCCAAAAATCAAGTAATTCTTTATTCCCATGAGAACCTTTACAGTGTTTAAAGGGGCTATATTTAGTTTTTCAATGAAATCACTTATTAATAAATTAAATGTTGCTGTAGCCTCACTTAGAAATGAAGCACACGCCTGTTTTCGCTGCTGCTCGGAACAGCCACTATTCTGCTTTTGATGTGAAGGAACCGGGTGTGGATGTAACTGCATGCGCGCTTCCAAGCCTCCTGCCAACTTCAGCGACAACACCGCAGTTAATGAAATGCAGTGACACCATAAAACACCTGGCTCCCAGCACAACACAGACTCCAACACAAAGTCCACGTAGGGATAAACCTGGCCAAAAGAGAATCAGATGATGTCGGTGAAAACAGTAAACATCAGAAAGGCTGGCGTCACGGAGAGAGTCACGTTAGCTCGCCGGCTAACGCTAAGCAGTTGTTAACGTTATTTGGTGCAATACATAATATGTAATGTTATGGCTTTCCACATTACTTCACCAGCTAATGCTATCTACATTACTATCCTGTTTACCACCGATATTATGTAAAAGTTGATTTTAACCTGCAAGAAATATTGTAACAATACAAAGCAAATGTGGAACGATTTCATAATACTAGCCTTGATGCAAGGCAGGAGCAGTCAGCACGGATCTAGCTGTTTGCTTCGTAACGCTCAATTTAGATTTATTGTTGTTTTGCCGATACTCAGGTATACAGCTTCTCCACCACCTCTGCTGTTGTAACATACATGAGCCACATAATATACAATAATGCAAAACATTTAGCTGTGCTCAAGTAATACACAAGTAATGTTAGTTACTGAAAAGCGGCAGGCAAGCTAATGCCTACATATCACGTGGGCTAAAAGCAGTAAATGTAACATCGTCATGTAACAAGCATGGATTAGTTCAAGCTTAACCTGATAAAAATTACCATAACTTTGCAGTGGGAGTTTACCTGAGTTATCAGCATGTTGTGTGAAGCTGTCACACTGCATTTTTTTCTGGGACTATTATGCCAATATGCCTGCTTGCTGCGCTGTCTGTGCCGGGAACGTTGGTAGGTACAGAGAGGTACATGTCTGTGTGAAAAGCAACAATGGGCATGCCGGTGTTTTGCCATGGGATATCTGAATGAAAGCGGTTGTGTTTCGGATTATGCTCACTCATGAGTTCAAGCCTATGGTTCAAGCACGCGTAAGAGCACACACCTGGTTGCAATCTTAAAACTGCAGTGCTGAAAATTACATATTGCTCCTTTAAAGAGGTGGTATTATGCTTTGTGGATTTTTCCCCCTCCCTTTATTGAGTTACATATCCTTTTTGTGCATGTTACAGGTTTGCAAAGTGAAAAAGGGGTCAGGCACGCCCTCAAACCAAGCTAGTCTGAGCAGAGGCCCTTTGGCTCGACTGGCCTTTGTTTGGGTTTCCAATGTAGAAATGTTGTACCTGTACCTGCTTCCAGGTACTTTTTTTCGTATCACCTCACCTCCGTTGAGGTTCCAAGCGAGCTGAGGGATACTAAAATGTAATGTGAAAATGCTGATTGGTCAGAGAGAATATTCATTATTCACTGCATCATCATTGCTTGCACCATACAGAGGCCAGCAACAGAAAGTTTTATATTTTAGTTTTTGTATGGAATTTCATCACTAAATACACTTCTGAGAAGTTTTGATGTGAAATCAGCTGAGTAGATTTCAAATATTGACAGTTTTACGAGAAGTGATGACGGAACAAAAAGGAGCTCCGCAAGTGGCTGTGGGGGAAGCCTGTGCAAACCCGCAGGAGGAGCGTGTGAGGCCGGCCAGCCGCCCGCTCACAGAGCCCTCTGCTCCCGCCATCACACAGACCGCTGCAGCAACAACGGGAGGAAAACGAGGAAAACACTGCTGGAAGGTTTTCATACCGCTTATCTGTCTTTATATTCTGAGTAATATTGAAACGTTTTAACCGTAGACTGTATATATTTTAAAAGCTGTGTGGATCGCTGGTGTGTGTGTCGCATTGAACATTATGTCGCGGCAGTTGTGTGTGGCGTTGCTATGACGACAGGCTACCTATCTCTGGGTACTATCTGCAATGGAAAACGGAGCACGGCCGAGTAGAGTCAGGCAAGGCAGCATAACGTTAGATCGTCAGAACACCGGCGACAGTTCAACGTTTAGTCCTGAAAGTAAGATGTGGAACAATGTTGTGTGGTTGTGGACTGGTAATAACTTACACCATCTGCTATGTTACGGTCGCAGTCTGAAGCGGCTTTGATTTGGATCACACTACCTTGTTTCTTACAACCCGCCATTCTCTGCTTCTGATTGGCTAGTAGTCCTTACCTGGGAACTGCGCATGTGCAACTCCCAACAAAGATTTTCTAAGATGCATCACTCCGTAGCTCATGAGCGGAGCGTACAACACATAGGGCGAAAAGAGGAGCTGCAGCAATGTGCAGTATGAGAAAAATATGGTGTTTTTTGAAAATTAAACCATGTAAACCTGTTCTGGTACAAGCCCTAAATAAGATTTTGAACCTGAAAATGAACATAATACCACCTCTTTAAAGATCCCTTTTCTCGTGAGTATTATATGAAAAAAAAATTCAAATCTTTTCAGCCATCAGATTTGCCACCAATGCAACCCGTAACTGCAATCCATACTCCTCTGACCCCACAATACCTGAAAAACTTTCTTTAACCTTTCACTTCTGTTTGTTATTGCCTTGTCTGTTCCATAACACTTCCATGTCCTTTCTCCCCTCCCCTCAAGAGTTTAAGCTTTAATTTTTATAAAAATGAATACAATAACTTTCCAAATCAACTTTGTCATAGGTGGCTCCCTGAGTCTGCCAGATGGCTGATAAGTAACGGAAAGATCAGCAGTGCTCATTTTTACCTGAACATGTGTGCAAAAGTCAACGGCAGAGAGCAGTTTGTGGCGGACCTACAGCCGGAGGTACAACATTTTGCAGTCTGATCATTTCTAGTAGTAATTGATACCCACTACCACTCTGACCAAAGTTATCCTTTTTACTCCAGATTCTGTCCAAGGTAATACTTGTAGAAGATGAAAATAGAAAATATTCCTATTTGGACCTTGTGAGGACTCCCAAAATGAGGAGAGTGGCCCTACTTACAGGCATTGTATGGTATACACACTCTTTTGGTTTTGCCTTTAAACAACTGAAATTTTCACGTATTAAACCCTGAAAAAAAATTATAATCTGTACAATCCACTGCCTGTATATGATCGCTGAACCTGAGAACAACAAACTTTTAAAAAGAGATGACAGCTCTTCTGTGTGTCAGTGGTAAGTTGCTGTGGAATTAGTATAATAAGACAGTCCTGAAATAGAATAATGTTAGCACTATATCGTGTTGTCTCACTTAACTTATAGTTAGGTCCATTTCACCATGCAGTGCAAGCTGACTTGTAGTTATAATGTAACACAAAGCAGAAGCACTGTTTCTATGGTACAGATACCTTGCACACTGATTTAGAACAAGGTAAAAGGTGGGGTAAGCGATTTTAATCCACTACATATCCTTTTGTCATATTCAGCGAATATCTCCTCTTGGTCCACTACCTGTCTGCTCTGTGTTCACTGAAAATAAATCCAGTCTCTGTACACAGCCCTGGCTATGTAAATGGTAAACAAACAAAAAAAAAAACATACCCCTCCACACAATAGTTTTCCAGCCATGATTTGTGTGCCAGATAATGCTAAATGACTTACCCACAGACATTCAGCTTAGCCTACTTTCTAGTATGCGTAAGACACGCTCTTGTGTGATGATAGCTATAGTAGCAGGAGTTGTCCAAAATAACTTTTAACTTTCGACGGTTGAAGTATCCTGTTATAGATACCTTCCAGCCAATTAGAAATAAGTATATTCTGGGACAAATGTGTCACTTTAATTTAAAAATAAATTTGCTCTCTTACTGTTCTTAGGTTTGGAGTGGCCTGTACGTATTACGGAATCAGCTTCAATGTCACTGGATTTGGTGTGAACATTTATCTCACGCAGTTCATCTATGGCGCAATTGAAATTCCTGCAAAAGTCTTCATCTTTTTCACCTTGCACAAAATTGGCCGCAGGTGGAATCAGGCCGGGACGCTTGTTTTGTCTGGACTGTGTATATTCTGCAACATGTTTATCTCACAAGGTAAATGATCAATTATATTTCCCTAGTGAATAGTAAATAAGTGAAAACTACCACCGAGGAGTGCAAAGTCATAGATTCAAAAGAGTCAAGTTCTACACACACCGTTCCCACATAGTGGCTTTAAATATAATTCAGGGTGGTGTTAAATATCAGACATAAACAATAGAGCCATAACACAACTAACACAATAGCAAATTACACTGATCACCCCGTGAATCATCACTTCACATTACTGTCATCTGGATGGACCTAAAATGGAGGACAGCTCACTTCAGCAGGAGTTTGTTCCCCCAACACTGAACAATCTGCCTCGCAGACTATGTTGTGGACTGGGATACATGAATGTATTTATGGGGACTCTATGTGTTGTCTTTATATCTGTGTGTTTCTATGTTGAACTGGCAGTGAAAACAAATTTTCCTTTGGGACAATGAAGTCTAAAGTTTTGTCTAAAATGTCCTTTCACAAACTTTTCTTTTAAGATAAGGGGCCATTTCGGACAGCTGTGGGAGCTTTGGGCAAGATGTTCGCAGAGGCAGCTTTCACAACTGTATTTCTGTACACAACAGAGCTTTACCCCACAGTAATGAGGTCAGTAAACTATCTGATATATAGCTTATATTTTGCACATTTACAAACAGTATCTATATCCAGACGTGGTTTCTCCAAGAAGCAAATTTTGCTGATACATCTGGATAACTGAACACCCTAATCAGGACTTATAAGTGAGGGAGTTGCAATTGCAGTTGTATCCTGACACTTTTTGTCCCTGATTGTTACAGTTGAGTTGTATGTTTGGTTACACAGGCAAAATGGATTGGGTTACACCTCCTTCATGGCCCGTATAGGTGTGTCTGTATCCCCCCTGATCATGCTTCTTGAAGAAGTATGGGACCATCTGCCAAGTACTATTTTCTCCCTGGTGGCTCTTGTTGGAGGGCTGGCAGCCTCTTTTCTCCCTGAGACACATAACATCCGTCTGCCAGAGACTATTGAGGATGTGGAACAGACAAGGTACTGGGTCTTCATTTGGACTGCCTTTGAACATTCAAAATGAGAATTATATTCTAAATTGAAATTTCCTTTTGTGTTTCAGAAGAAGATCAATCTCCACATCTGAGGATAAGTCTCCACCCTGAATGTTTTCTTCATTACAACCAAAAGCCCATAAGTTCAGTTGCAGGGAATATCAGTGGTGGTTATATGTTTTAACAAAAAAATAAAAATAATGTTTGTGATCAAATATTTTACAATACAACTGATTCATGTTTGATTTTTCTGTCACACTAGAGTAAAGAGTGGATATTTCTAAATGAAGTGATTCTAAAATCCAGGAGACAGTCTGAGATTTAATGCGTTGTTATAAGATGAGGACACAGTAAAGAAAGGGTAAGGAGATGAAAGAAAGACGATGATATGAAGGGGTGGAGGGCCCATCATTGAGATACTGACAAAGGATACCCATTTGACAACCCAGAACTGTCAACTGACTCAAGACCAGCAGGTGACTTACTGTAAATTTATTGTCATTTGGAAAATAATCTAAATAAAAGTAAGTGTTCACCAACTCTTTCCAAAAATCATGATCCTATGTTGGTGTATTTTGTTTTAGAGAGCCCAGAGTGAACTCTATCTTTACCTTTCTTACAAATGGGACTTGTGATGTGTGTGATAAATAGAAGGGGAAAATATAACAACCAAACTGTTCTGACATCACTTCTGCCTGAAACACCCGACTGCCAGAGTTCATTAAGTGCATTGTGCACCCAAGGTAAAGTTCAGTGCTCTAATATTAGGGCAATGGTAAACTATTAGAGATCATCTGTAAGTCAGAGAAATTCAGCCTTAACACACAGGTATGCCTCTTGTATGCTGTGCTTGTATGCTTGTATATGTATTTTGTCATCATGTTTTCTTCATGTCAGTATATAGCCTTATAGCAAAGATGTTAGGGAACATCATTGATTGGAACATATTTAAATAACAAAACTCTAACTGCCTAAGTATGTCTTACATAAGCAACATCTGTTATTTTTACAATATACTATGTAGTATGTAATTATATGCTATCATACAAAGATTAGATTTCTTAAAGGTGGGGTAAGCCTTTGTAATTCTGGAGAAATCCAACACTATGACAAATGCCATGATATAGAGTGAACAATGAGACAGGAAGTAATATAATCTAAGTTGCTGCTGCAAAGCTAACATGCATAGAGGACGAGATGGTCCCAAAGCCAGCACACCAGCTCCAGACATTGATACTCACAACTCTCTGCTACTATAGCTAACATCACAATAATAGCATGTCTTGGCAAACTAAAAAGTAAGTTGACGCACAAATCATGGCTGGAATAGTTTGGTGTGACTTAGTCCAAGCCATTTTGTTTCAAATTTACAGAGCCAAGACTGTGTATAAGCAATGGATTGTTTTTCTGCATAGTCTACTTTTAAATGAAATGTAATAAAATGATGACTCATTTCACTACTGAGGATCCAGCTTAAACTAGTACCACAGTGCATACATTGATTCACACCCACATAGACAAAAGTTATTTCAGTGGTTAACTGAGGTAAAATATTTACCAATTTCACCTGTAATCCAGCAGCCCCTTGGATTCTGAAACGTCAAAGGTTGCTTTGTCCAGGTTTGAGAGTCGGATTTGCTGTCTACTTCTTTTTGGTGTACAGGCATGAGCAAATGAAGAGGGATTTTATTTTTTTATTTCAAAGGAAGACATTTTACATACAGTGAGAGGCCACAATGAGGTTTGAGAACATCCTTGCCGATATAAACGGATTTGGAAGATTTCAGATAATGATCATTGTAATCAGCTTCATTGGCCGCTTCACACTGCCATGCCACTTCATGCTAAACAACTTCATAGCGGCTGTTCCGTCGCACCACTGTGACATCAGCTCTCTGGATGACGGAGGTGTTTTTAGAAATTTATCCCAGGCAGAGAGGCTTGTGGTTAGTATTCCACTCCAGGAGGATGGGACACCAAACTCCTGTCAGATGTTTGCAGAGCCTCAGTATCATCTGCTGCTCAACTCCTCCAGCATTACTGAACTACCCACGGTGCCGTGCCGGACTGGATGGGTGTACGATAACACCACCTTCAAGTCTACTCTGACCTCACAGGTGACCTACATTTCTTTTCATTTGTATCAAACAAACTAAAATGCACTTGTTTGCCATCATGTACAACTTTTAGGGAGAAGTCACTCATGTCCTCAACAAACAGAGTGAACTTGTGCTCTTTATTTGTTTGTACAAGTGGGACCTGGTGTGTGATAGAAGAGGGAAAAACAAAGCAACTGCTACTATCTTCTTTGTTGGAGTGATGTTTGGAGCCATGTCCTTTGGAAGTCTCAGTGACAGGTATCGCAGCTGCCTTCTTGACATTATTACTGTGAATACCCTGTGTTTCAAATAATAAGTAAAATTCTGACTTTCCATAGGTATGGCCGAAGGATCATGCTGCTGGTGTCGTATGTGTCTGCAATGATCTTTGCTTTTGCAAGTGCTTTTTCTACATCCTACGTGATGTTTGCAGTGCTGAGGTTCTTCACTGGGTTTTGCATCACTGGCATCGTCATTGTCTCAACAGTCCTCAGTAATGCTATATTTTAATTTCTGTTTTAAATTATTAAGCATAATCTATATTGTGTTGTGTTCAGCTCAGAAGCCTAGGCTTCCAAATGCAGGTGTACAGAAAGTAAAACAAGATTTCAAGTGTTGCACTAAAGGTTTTCTTTGAATTTTGATCCTTGCAAAGTGATGAGTTGTTTGTTCTTTTGCAGGTGTGGAGTGGGTGGACATAGAGCATAGGAAACTGGTGGGAGTGATCGACAGCTTGTCTTGGACATTTGGGAACACAGTATTCGCTGCTATTGGTTATTTTGTGACTGATTGGCGGTGGCTAATTGTTAGCGTCTCCTCACCTCTAGCCTTCGCCATCATCACCTGGAGGTATGACTCAAAAGCTCAGATCTTTTAGTCTATCAGAAATAACTTACAGTATGCCCTGGAACTGTCATGTTTTGGGTGACTGCTTAACATTTCAGTGCCACGTATTCATGAACAGGCTGAAAAATAAAAATTCGAAAGAAATTGTATACTTCATTCATCAGGTGCAAATGATTAATTTACAGATCCCAGGGCACAAATGTTTGATCTGGACCTCGACTGATAAGGATAGTGCAGAATTCTTTGTTGATTTTCCCCCACAATGCCTGGTCAGATGATTCGTAAATCCACTGCAATTGTTAGCTGCTGCTACGGCTAGGCTCAGGTTGTGGTGGGCTGCTGCTAGCCCTAATGGTAGCTTCCAGATTAGCTTGCGTGTCATCTTGCTCAACATTTTTCTCATCGACGTTAATAACAAAAGAAAGTTTTCATCCCGATTTTTTTAAACAAAAAATGTCAGTTAATGGCATACTTTTTAATAGTGACACCTCCATCTCCTCTTTTTCTCGTTTTCTCTTTCGTTTGTTGCATCCACTTCTGCTTGTTTCCTCCATTTTCGAACTACCATAGCCTGGTTATTTAATTAGACAACTAATTACACTAGCAAAGTAGTGTGATCCAAAACAAAGCTGCTTCAGCCAGTTACCATGGCTTTGGTTCCGCCGGTCATGTTTGTCTAATCCCAAAACAAAGCCAGAACAACCCCAAACCAGCGTCGCAACCTAGACTGGAACAAGATGTTTCAGAGTGGTAAGTTATTAATTTGTAACCAATTTATCTTTCATACATAACATTTTAACTGTGCACTGTCTCTACATCACAGTAACAACTTTATGTCCATTGACTACCTGGAGAATATCTAACATTCGGTAGGGAGGGAGGGGGAGAGAGGAGGCAGCTGTGTGTGGTGCAGCTCAGTGTGTTTCTCCAGTGTGTTCTCCAGTGTGTTAGCGGCTAGGCGAGCATTATGATGCATATTACATAGTGACACAGATAGGTTAAGGAAATAAAAGCTGGGCTACAATTGAGCTGTTTTCGGGTAGTTTAGGAGCATAGGTTTTTACTGTGAGAGATGGTAAATCCCTTCAGGATGGACTTTGGCTTTTTCACTTTGCAAAATTATTACATGCACAAAAAAGATATTTTTTCCTTTATTGAACATGTTAAAAAACAACAACAAAAACTAAATAAAAACAAACAATCAACAAAAAAGATCATCAGCAGAGTATCCAAATAACAGTCATGTTCAAAGGGGGTAGGAGGAAGTTTGAATAACGTTTCTTGTCCTACCCCCACTTCAATGATATATTTTAACTACTTAAATTGTTTGCATCACTTAGATATTCCAACTAAATAAAGATCAACAAAAAAGAAAATCACTGTTCCAGCTCATATCCATCAAGGATTCTTTTTTTAAATAGATATTTCAGTTGCAATAAGTTTTTACATAACTTTAAATCATTATTACTGTTGTTCCACAGGATATCACCCTGGATTGTTATACAGTGGAACTTACTATTTGTTTGAATGAACGGTTTACTAAACATTGATATTCCTCTGAAACTGTACATGTTTTCTCGTAGTTGAAAAAGCTCTTGGATATTTCTAGGCAATTGGTTATTATGTGCTCTAAAAAGAATTTGAATAGTTTTGTAGTCAATCAAATCTTTGAACTTTAATATTTTGAGTTTAATGAACAATGGGTTTGTTGGTTCTCTGTATGGAGTTTTATGTATGATTCGAATAGCTCTTTTTTTGTAGGATGAAGATTGGGTATGTATTTGTTTTGTGTTATGTGTTCCCCCATACTTCCACACAATAAGTCATGTATGGGAGTATGTAGGAGCAGTACGGCATATTTAGAGAAGCCTGATTCAATAGGTCTTTGGCTTTATTTAATATTGCTAATGACTTGGATATTTTGGTTTTAATATGCTTTATGTGAGGTTTCCAGCTTAATTTGTTATCAATAACTACCCCAAGGAATTTTATTTCAGATACTTGTTCTAGTTCCATACCATTTATCATTAGTTTCTTGTCTGTGTCAGTTAATCAGTTCCCAAATATTATACATTTTGTTTTACTCAAATTCAGTGTTAGTTTATTTTCATCAAACCAAATCTTCATCCTACTCACTTCCTTTTCCATGGTACCCAGTAGCTTCTCCAAATTTTTACCAGAGCATAGTAGGTTTGTGTCATCAGCAAAAAATTATTTATATAGATGTAACCCATATATAATATGCTGTTATACGCATGTTTCTAGCTAATTAGTCACAAGAGATCTTCTTCCCTTTGTGTGGAGTTGTACAACAAAGCTCTAGCTTCACTTTGATAAAAATAGTAAATAAGTTAAGATATATGGTCAACTTATACCCAGAGTTGTGGACAAGATAAATCTTTTGTGAGTACTGCATCGTGAGAGCCAGTTTTTGGGGATTTTACCGTGTTTTGCTGAAAACTCCGGTGAGTTTCTTTGTCTGAACTTTCCCATTAGCTTACCATCATGTTAGCCAACTTAGGGAGGTACTATGAGTGAACAATATTAAGTGTTAAAATCATATACTATTACAAAAACCAATCGGAGTGATGTGAGAATATTGTGAAATGTTTACATATGCACTAGGCTCATTCTGTGTAATTTGTGTTTTGCTGAATAGAGTGCTCAGTTAAGTTCAGTTCAGAATGTGTTTACTTAGGTACTAATGGAAGAAATAATGCATTAAGTTAATTTCATGTTGTTAAAAAAGGGTAGCCTACGGTTCATAGTTGTAAAGGCAAGAATTCCATTTACCCTGTAGGGAACATTATTTATTTCAAGAACATGCTAATGTTTAAAACTTGTACAATCATTTAGCTTGCAATGCAAACTAATGTTTTAGTCCAACAGACTTGTATGGAGTACAGCATAGTTGTGTTTTTAATGTTATAGTTATCTTGTAACCATGGTGATGGTTTAAAAAAATTTTTTAACTGTGATTTAATGAGAAGTTCCCATATATGGAAGAGAAATGGAAATGATTATAATAGATTTGATCTGTTTTGTACTGCTACATGCAGATGGGTTTTTTGGATCCTGGATTTAGTTGGTTCCATACCATGATGACTTTGATGGCGAGCCTATCCCAGGGAGTGACACTTTTGGATACGATATGATTGGATACAGTGTGGCCAGCTGTGTTGGATTCCATCCTGTGGAGTGACCGAACTGATTCGCATCGAGATTTTGGATACTGGAGTCCAGATAAGAGACAAGAGTAGAACAAAATATTTTGTTCTACTACCCGGGTAGATTGACTCTCTATTTATTTTAAAAGAGCTCTATTTTATTTTGGGGGAATTTGAATTGTAAATGCAAATAGTTTTATGAACAGTGTGAACCAGGATTGTGAATTAAACCTGCCAGCTGTTCTGTTCTTTAAACCCGTCTCCTTGTGAGTGTCATCAAAGGTACTGCTCAGAGCATAGGTGATTGATGTATACCTATCTGTTTTAATCCAGAATAGAGGGGTTACATAGAGGTTAAATAATAATGGCTCCAACACTGAACCCTGTGGCACCCCACATGTAACCTGCAGCAGTTGTCATTTATTGTTTTGTATTTCAACACACTGTTTTCTGTTCTCCAGGTAACTGGATAACCATGTCAGTGCAATTCCTCTAATACCATATTTTTGTAGTTTTTATTTATCAATAATTTGTGATCTACAGTGTCAAAAGCTTTTTTGATATCTAGAAATATCCCTGCTGCATATTGTTTCCTGTCTATTGCGTTTGTAACTTTTTCTATAAATTCTATCATTTCAAAAGAAGTTGATCTGTCAGCTCTAAAACCATATTGTTGTGATTAAATAATCTAGCCTTATAAATATTTTGGAGAACTGTGGAAGCAATGAGATGGGTCTGTACTTGTAGAGTATATGTTCGTCTCCAGTTTTATATATTGGTATTACTTTAGCCATTTTTATTTTATCTGGAAAGACACCGGTTTGTAGGGACTGATTGCAAATATGGGTTAGAGGTCTTGCTATGGTTTTAATAATGTTTTTGACTGTGCACATATCAATATCATGGCAGTCAGTGGACCTCTTACTCTTCAATTTTTTTTACAATATCAATAAGTTATTTTTCATCAGTCCCTCTTATAAATATTGTTTCTTCAACAAATAACTTCTTACTTTCTACTCCATCACTACTACCCATCTTTGGAATATCCCTTGCCAGTCCCGGACCAACATTGACAAAGTATTTATTGAATTCCCAAGCAACTGAAGCCCTGTCAGTGATTTCTGTATCATTTGATGCTAGCAAGTAACTTGGATATTCTTCTTTTCCATTTTCTTTCATGATAGCATTTAAGACGTCCCATGTTTTTTTTTTATATTATTTTTGTTGTCTTCCAGTAAATTGATGTAATAATCAACTTTACTGCATCTTATGATTTTTGTTAATTTATTTTTATATAACTTATATTTTTGTTCTGCTTCTATTGTTCTTCTCTTTAAGAATTCTTGTATATTAAATTCTTCTTGCATGCATTTATGATTCCTTTTGATATCCATGGCTTCTGAACGTATTTTTGCTTTACTATTTTCTTTACTAGAGGACAATATTTGTCATATAATCCTGATATGGTTGTCAGAAATGTTTCATAGGCCCTATTAACGTCACTCACATAAACTTTTTTTTCCAGTCTTGTTTTAAAAGGTCTTGTTTAAAAGAGTTTACAGCATCTTGTATTTTTTTTTCTTACAACACCGTAAAGGAAAGTGATTAAGCTAAAAAGCATATTATGACCTCATGATCTTTTTTTGCTGATTGGGCCCTCAACTGCACATTGACCACTTGTGCCTGCTGTTAAGGCCAGAATGTATTTGGATGCAGTTTTGTGTGTCATTGTATTTAGGGTCAAAGGCCAGTTCAGTTGAACTGTACTGCACGCTTTCCTGTTCTGCGTTGCGGAACATCAACATAGTGCTCGCAGCTTATGTTGCTGCCCAAGAGAGCGCAGCTGCTCTTTCCATTGGAAATTATGGCCATGCGCAGCACAAATGCGAACTTGTGCTTTGCCCTGTAATGGTGCCACATTTAAGGCGAACTCCTCCAATTTTACACATTAATATCTGTTTATAGGTCTTGGGGAGGACTAAGGTTACGGCATATGTGAAAAAACATGTATAAAGCCTTTTGTGGATCCAAAGGAAGCTGTGCAAAGTCTGACAAATTGCCTAATGTGATAACTACAACTTTGAAAATGAGAAGAATTGGTAAATGTGGAGGTTACCAGACATGTGTAGCCCACTTTTCATCTCTGCTTGTAAAAAACTCTGCTGCATCAGTTTTTATCCTTTTCTTTAAAACTGTCCAATGTTAGCCCTGACAATATTATAGGACTTCAATGTTAAACAGTGGAGTGCTCTTTTAGGAGCTTGCAGTATTTAGACAGAATTAGACCACTCTTCTGTCTTTGTGTGCTAGAGCTGCACCTGTACCCGACTGGGGTTAGATACTTACGTTAGCTACATATTATACATATTATTCACCATATTTGTTCTTAATGTAAACATACAATGGGTTTCATTACAATGTAATACATCATGAGTAAAAACGTTTTTGCCTTATTAGGTGGATGCCAGAGTCGGCAAGGTGGCTCATTGCCAATGGAAAGCTGGAGCAAGCTCAGATGTATTTGAAAAAATGTGCCAAGATGAACCAAACAGAGGAGTTAATTCATACACTTAAAACAGAGGTTAGCATATTCCAGATGATTGTTAGATCAAGAGAACAAACAAAAATCAACAAAGTCTTTGGCCTGTAACTGTCTTTGTCTAATTTGTTTGTGTTGTCTAATACAGTATTATAGTTATGAATCCTTAATTTGTATCACATGGTTTAAAAAATAATGTTGCTTTGCACTTTTTCAGACACTATCCACTATTGTGACTGAGAAAAGAGATCGTGCCTATTCCTACCTTGATCTGATACGAACACCCAAAATGAGGAAACTTGCCCTATGTACTGGTATATTGTGGTCTGTATTCCTAATGCCATTGTGTTCAATGTCAAAGAGTCATTTTTACATTTTAAAAGATCTAGATAAATAGTTCTGAGTCTATTTAAAAAGACAAGTAATTGTAATCAATGAGCTTCTACTTTGTCTTCCCCTAGGTTTTGTGTGGCAACTTCATTTTATGGCATCAGCTTCAACATCACAGGCTTTGGGCTCAATATCTATCTCACTCAGTTCACCTATGCTTTAATTGAGCTCCCGGCCAAAGTAACAGTTTACTACTTACTGGATAAGATTGGCAGGCGAGGCACTGAGGTGGGAGCTATGCTAATGGCTGGCGTCTGTCTTGGAATCAACATTGTAGTACCTACAGGTAGGCATTCATTAATGCCCACAGACTTACAACATCCAAGCTTTAGCTTATTTTGTTGCTTTAAAAATGTAACTAACCTAAGTCACTGCTATCCTATTTTCAGATATGCCTGTAGTCAGAACAGTGGTAGCAGTCATTGGAAAAGGGTTTTCTTCAGCATCCTTTGCAACTGTTGTGCTCTACAGTTCTGAGCTCTACCCCACTGTAGTAAGGTAACTATGTATCCCTTACTTTTTATCCTTTTGTCTTATCAATCTGAACATAACTTGGCACATTTCTGAAATCATTATTTAGAGTCCTTTTACACAGTCTCCTCTGTGGTTAAGAACAATGTCTGAATGTTTTTTAGGCAGAATGGTATGGGCTACAACTCCTTCATGGCTCGACTTGGTGTCGCTGTGGCCCCTTTGATCCTCTTACTGGATGAGGTGTGGAAGAACCTTCCCCAGCTTGTCCTGTGCTCTGCGGCTATACTAGGGGGAGTAGTCGCAAGAACGTTGTCAGAGACACGCAATAGGTGCCTGCCAGAGACCATAGAGGATATTGAAAAGCAGTGGTAGTGAACAGTCATCAGTCTTTCCCAAACTTAAAATCGCGTTTTATGGGGTCGCCAATTGGCACAGTAAAATGCTATATAGTGCTTAATTTATAAATCGGGAGGTCCTGGCACACAGAGAGGCTGCTGCTCAGGGTGAGAGAAAAGTCACTGTATCAAAAATCCACACTGCCTGAAGCACGTTGTAGCCTACAACGTCGAGGTACTAAACGTTAAAACTAAGCGAAACTGTCATCACAAACAAAGCATTATTTATTTACGTTTATTAATCAGCACATTCACAATAATAACTCGAATTTAGCAGGGGGAGGCACTCAGAAACAGCTGTTTAAGGTTTGCATCTCTCTCTTCCCCATTGTTTCCCTAGATTCTGCTATAATGGGGGAGGGGATGAAATTAGGGCCTAAACTATCAAAACTGGAGATTTTGATAGTGACAAAGGAGGTGCCGGATCCAGTCAAATAGATTCTGGTCCTAATCTGGGAGGTCCTGTCCTGTCAGGATTACATTAAAACTCAAGAAATTATTAAATTTATTTCAACTTTTACAAGTAGGCTTCGATGTTACCTACTTTATATACTTGACCCCACTCCCAACTCCAGCTGACATAGTGAGTTTATTGCCTTACTGCTTCTATGCCTTAAGTTTTCCTTGCAAGTTTGTTGTGAGGAACTTTATACTCTGCAAGTTTGATTTTAGCACTGATGTACTTTTATAATGAAAAAAATAAATTTCATACTAGATTCATGGTTTGTTATGGTTTGTGTTCTTTATCAGTAGTTTATAAATGTAGACGTTATGCCAATTCACAATGTATTTTTGTAAATTTGGGAACCCCTGCCATAAATAAACCAAATTACTTCATAACTCAATTATTTAATTGATCAGCCTCTTAAGGGGGAATTTAATAATTTTGAAAGATTGACCTTGTCTTCTGTTGCAAAGAAAACACAGACAACTTCTTACTGATTAAATAACATTTATTTAACTTCTAACTAAATGCCTAATAACTGAATAAATGGAGGATTAATAAGGTGTAACAATATATGATAAAGAAAATAAACAAATGCAACAGATAAATAGCAGATACTGTGATGATATTAACCTGATCTAACTGACAGCAGTGAAGTTTGTGATCTGATGACAAAATGGACACTGACGCAATGCTAGGGCACTTGACCTCTCTGAATTAGGAAGGAATATATTTTATTTGACATCAACTCGTTATCACCACAAAACTGTGATGATAACTGTTTTGAAAGCCCTGGCAGAGACGGAGGTGTAGAGGGGACTCCTTGAGAGCAGCTGGGTCACCGAATGGATGAGGTGTTCTAGTCAGCCTGGCAGTCTTGTTTCAGGGCTGATGGCAGACTTTACAGGCACAGTCCTCAGGGAGATGCAGGATTCAAAGTTTCTTATGCTCTAACCTTTGTTGGCATTAGAACTCAAGGCAGGCATCTTTTGTAAGTTTGAAAGTTACTTTCAAAGCTGACTGGACTATAGCAGCTCAGGTACAGCTGTGGTTACAAGTTGGCTTGAGGAATAAAATATATCTGGCTACACTAAGTTCTTCAGCTAAGCTTATAATTCCTTTGTCCAGATAAAAAAACAAAATACACTTTATTTCATTTGATCAGTGAACAAACACAATGCCCTCAGTCAATCCAAAATATAACTGAATATCAAACCTGAATGTTTAACTAAGGAAAAGTGAGTTTTGTATGCAGAAGTATTAGGCAACTAAAGTACCAAAACATTTTCTATCAAATTATTTGTTTATTCTCAGTTTTTGTGTAACAACACAAAATCAGAATCAAAAGGAGCTTTATCGCCAAGTAGTGTTTTACACATACAAGGAATTTGCTTTGGAGATAAGATGCTACAAGTAGACAAACACACAGTTGACATATATAAATGTAGAAATATATAAATGTGGAATAAGGAATGCAAGCTATATGAGAATAATAAAAAGAAGAGAGAAAAATAATACTATTGCAGAGACTAAACTATTTGCAGAGAAAGAACAACGTGGCAGATATTTACATGTACATTATTCCGGATTTGTGTTGTTGACAATTAAATAAAATTTAATAAATAATTAATAAATATTTAGTAACCAATATATCCACTCTTCTTTTCAATAACTGCCACGAGCCAGTTTCTTGATCTGTTCGCAATCAACTTTCAGTGAAGCAGCAACCACAGCCTCCCAAATGCTGTTCAAAGAGGTGTATTGTCTTACCTGACTGTAAACCTGGTGTTTGAGAAGGGCCCACAAGTTCTCAATAGGACTCCAGTCAGGTGACGAAAGGGGCCAGGTCATTATTTGGGCATCTTTGAGGCTCTTGCTGGCTAGCCAAGCAGTGGGGTACTTGGATCCATGTGATGGATCACTGTTCTGCTCTTTTTGTCAACTAGCCAAAGAAGGATGAGTTTCGAGCATGGAAATAAGTTTTTCGCACTGTGGTCAGAAAAATAGTAAGAGGGTTATAAAACGCTGAACATGATTTACCTGCATTTTAGTAGATCATTCAATAATTTACATGACATTCCTGACTAATGGGCTGTTGGTGGCACAAGGTTTAACAAAAGTTTGCTTAATACAGTGTAATAGCTACAATAGTGACGGTATGATTAGCTATTCTGTCCTGTTTTTCAGTAGAGATGGCAGTGTTGCCACATAGCAACAAAAAAGGGCTTTTTTCTGTCAAAGAATAACTTGCTCATTTCATGTTGTACAAAACATAAGTTTGGTTAAACATCATGAAAACATGTGCTGAGAAATTTTAGTTACTGATTGGTTAGATAGCTGATTAACAATAATTCAGACCTTGCTGAAAGGAAGAATATAACTGGCAGGCCTTAGCTCAGACAATTTCAGAGTTGAGGAGACAGAAAGGTGGTGTGTGTGTGTGTGGTGGGGGGTCTGGTCTGTACATTCTCTTTTTGACTTGATTTCAACTAAACTATATATAACACTCCCCATGAATTGCACAGGGTTATAAATGATACTGCAGTGTGTTTGTGAATGTCTGGGAGACATTCATTGGGATCACTACAGTTGGAAGGATATTTAGGGAGATGTGAGGAAAACTCAAGATTGAACACTGCTCTTTAAGGAACACTTACATTAATAGTTATACTTTGACAGCAAATGAAAAAATACGTATAAGGGAGGGGTTCCCAACCTTTTCTGGCTCATGATCCTTTACACACTCGCAGGTTAAAGATCTGTGAACAGTTTACCCAAAAGAGTCTAAGGTTGTTTCATTTCAAACATTTTTCAAAAAAGTTAAATTCTCCAGTATTTCAAAAATGTATTCCTTCTTGTTTTAAATCTCTTAACCCTTAAAACCCTGACCCTATGGTTGGGGACCACTGTTATAAGGCGATTTATTACATTTATTCATTTAGCTGATGCCTATCCAAAGTGACTTACAATTGCTATATATGTCAGAGGTCGCATGCCTCTGGTGCAACTAGGGGTTAAGTGTCTTGCTCAGGGACACATTGGTGGATGTGTCACAGTGGGGAATTGAACCCAAGTCTCTCACACCAAAGGCATGTATCCATTTCACCATCACCACCCTCAATATGATAAAATATTTTAATGAAAAGGGTTTTGGACCTGATCAAACCAGAACACACCGTCAATATATTATCTGTACAGTGTTTCATAGAGGAGCTCCATGTTAGGTAATAAAGGTTGAGTTGAAGTGTAACAAACCGTTACACTAAAAATACTATTGTGTACTTGCAAAAAAGTATTGATTAATCGTAAACCAGCCTCTTTGCCTTATTTACATAGTCAACCCAGCAAATTTGTTAATTCTGCCAAGTTGAAAATTTGCAACTACAGGCCTTATAACTGTAAAGGTTATCAGTCATCCAGGTAGTAGTATATAGTTGTCCAAGGAAGGTTAAAGTCAATAGCGATTGGACTTGGTTGAAGATGCTTGAACACACACACACACACACACACACACATAAATTAAGTCAAAGCTCCTTTATTAAAGAAACAAAGCAAGCACAATTTCTTTTAAACTCGGCAATCCCCTAAAAGGAAAGTCAACCACATCTAAATGACATGTTTCTGCTATTCCTTTCAAAAATCTTTATAGCCAGGTCTAATATTTACTGCTGATATTTCATCTGACAATACACTTTGTCACAGAATTAACATTGATGGAAAAAAAAAAAAAAAAAAAGCAAACAAAATAGAAAAATCAAAATGCTAATTTTGAAACGTTAAGATACAATGATACAGAAAGATCTAAAACTATAATACGCGGTTGTTTTCCAGGACACTTCTTGGCTATTGTTCAGTACTGAGAGTACTCCTTGCTCTCTAGTTTGGAAATTATTCGCTCCAACTGTCTTTTAGCTTCACATTGTGGGAAGTTACTCATTTCATAGTACTGGGGTGCAATCTTCACCAGCCTGTAGAAAGAAAGAAGAAAGACCATGAATGACTCAGTCAGGGGATTGTATACAATCAAAGCTTATGTTAAATTTATCTTTATGAACGCGTATTGAAATGTTTAATCTTTGAACACATACCACTCTGGTTTGATGTCTGTGCAAGTGCGGATGTAGTTTTTGGTGGTGAGGACAAATTCATTGTAGAGCACCCACTCAGGCTTGTGGTCCAGAACTGTAGATGGGTGGAGTTGGACCACTTGGTTGTCTTTGACTGTGAGGTAATGACCTGTGCGCTCCAAATGAGCCACCTGGAGGACAAAAAATAAAAAATAAATAAATAAAATAAAATATAAACCTCTACAAAAAGTCACACATAGATCTCTGGTACAAACTTCATGAAAGACATAATTAGACCAGGATATTACAAAAGAACTCTTTAATATATGACTAATGTTTGTTCACCTGCATGAAGAAGCCGGTGCAGAGAGCTCGGCGGATGTTGATGTAGTAATCTCTGCTGGTGAACTCAGTGCTCCGGCGGGGCAGGTTGAAGCGGTCCATGATCCTGGACAGCTGCTGCCGCACGTTGTCCGCAGACATCAGTGAACGGTAGTTGACAAAGTTGTCATAGCACCACTGGTTAGACTCGTGGTCTTGAAAAAGTATAACAAGGATTCTGGTTATGAAGTAAGAAAAGCCTTTGATGTTATTTTTACAACAGCTTTAAAGCTGCATTGATCAATATTAACAGTGGATCAAATGACTGAAATGTAAAAGCAGTTGCTTATAATAAGCTCACAGAGGATGATCAATTTTACAAAATCAATTCCTCCACAAAGTGCTTTTGTGTATTGGTTTTCTGACACTACCTGCCCAGCAATAATTAACAGACAAAGTTAGCAACTAGCTGGTGAACAAGGTTAGGCATCTACAGTATGAAGCCATGGAAACATTATTTTCACAACTCTGTGGAGACCAAATAAGAGCATTTTTGTGCTGCACAATGATGATGATAGAGGTATGGTGCAGAAGTTAAGGCCTTCCTCTACTAAAAAAAAAAAAAAACCAAACAAACTGCTTATTGTTACTTTACTTGAACGTTCGACACAGACGGCTGCTTTCACAATTATCTTCCTCTGTGCTCACCTTAAATCTGAGTTAAAGACTTTAGATTTGGGATGTCACAACTAGTTTAGAAGTCAATTATGGCCCAATTTACAACTTACGTATGTGTGATGTTGAAACTTGAAGCCTCCAATGCATTTTCAAAAATGATCATAATAAATGTCAAACTATTATTTCTTTCAAGTTTAAAGATGAATATT